TCTCAAAAAGTTGAGCATAGAATTACTATATGATCCAGTAATTCCACTTCTAGGTATAATGCACCCAAAAGAATCGAAAGCAGAGACTTATAAAAGGTATTTGCACACCCATGTTCATTGCAGTATTATTCACAATAGCCAAAAGGGGGACACACCCCAAATGTCCATGAACAGATGACTATGTAAAATGTGGTATATACACACAATGGAATATTATTTAGCCATCAAAAGGAATGAAATTGCATACATACTACAACATGGGCGAACATCAACAGGCAATTTATTCCAAGCAGAATGTAGAATACAAATTATCAAAAACTGGGAGGCCAGGAGAGTGGGAAGCTATTACTTAATGTTGTTGTTGTTATGTGCCATGGAGTCAGTTCCAACTCACAGCGACCCTGTACAGGGTTTCCGAGGCCTTAAATCTTTATGGGAGCAGAAAGCCTCATCTTTCTCCCATGGAACAGCTGGTAGTTTCAAACTGCTGACCTTGCGGTTCGCAGCCCGATTTGTAACCACTACGCTACCAGAGTTCCTTAGGTACTGTTAGTAGGAGTACTGTTAATAGGAGTTTCTGTTTGGGGTGATGGAAACATTTTTTGGAAATAAATGGTGACAGTTCTGCAACATTGTGGACATAATACCACTAAATCAAACACTTAAGAAACGGTAAAATGATGAAGCTACTTTATCACAGTCTAAAATAAAAGAAAGAAGTAAAAACTAAACAGTAACAATCTACTACAGTTAGTAAGATGTTTCCACATACATTATCTGTTTCCGATTTTTATACTAAGTCTATGAGTTGTTAGGAGTCCTGGTGGTGGTACTGTGGAGTAATGCGCTGGACTGCAAGGTCAGTTTGAACTGGAAGGTTGACGGTTCAAGCTCTTTAGCCACTCCTAGGAAACCCTATACAGGAACTGACCCGAAAGCACTTAACAACAACAGTAATGAGTTGTTGAGTTATGCACCAATCTCCTTTCATGTAGAATGAGACTGAGGATCAGTGAGGAGAACTAACTTTCCCCAAATCAAACAATTGTCCATGGTAAAGCTAGCCTTCTGTCCTATTCCCGTGGTCTCTGCTGTGTCCAGCTTGGTGTGACACAGAACTTACAAGAATGCTTACATTCTGAAAGTGACTTATTAGGAACACTTGAGATAACTAACCTTTAATAAGTGTCTGAATCACTTCTTTGTGTCCCATCTCACAGGCTCGGAAAAGTGGAGTATGCTTCATAACGTCGGTAGCATCTACTTGAGCATCATTTTCCAATAACAACTTCACGGTGCTGACCTGGCCAGAAAGGGCAGCAGCATGCAAAGCTAAAAAGGAAGCAAAGAAAGACGCATTCTTTAACAACAATTTTGCCTTTTTATTGTTCTAATTATGTATCTTTTCCTCTTTTGACCTCCCCATCATTTGATTAAATGCAATGTTCAAGTTTCTTTATTTTTCATTTTATAGATTTCGCATTTCTTTCCTTCCCACATGTGTATCAGTCATGCTTTCTTATTTCCTCTTTTCCTTTTTTATCTCATGGTTTTCTTGTTGGGGTGAAAAGGTATCTTCTTCTGTTATCTGTTTATTATCTTTTCCTCTTTCCAAGTAAGCAAGATGTAAAATAACACAGGAAATTATTTAAATAATGCAAATAATTCTGCCTCCCTGCCACTCAGTAGGCAGTCCTGGTTTCTTCAGGACTTGGATGGTACTGAAAATATGTGCATCTTGATGCACTGAGTGCATTTTTCACACAGTATTGCTCCAAATGCTCCAAGCCAGCTACTTCTTTAAGGCTCAATTTAAGAAACAGCAATTCATTTCAACCTTGAAGAAATAAAATGAGAGATGGCTTCCTAAAGGGCTTTTAAAGAGTAATGTGATTTCACATTATACTGCCCTCTGCCTTTGTTTCCCCACTATTGTTCATAAGTGTTGCTGAGTCAGTTTTCAACTCACCATGTAACACAGTAGAACTATCCTTCACTCTTTAGGTTTAATTTGCCAGAATAATAGTCTAGAGGTCTGGGCTAGTTGCTTCTATGATTTTTGGTTCTATAATACCTAGAACAGTGCCTCTTTCATAAAAGATGATCCATAGATCCAAGCTGCCTAAACAAATGCAGATTCCTAGGAATTTATGGACTACCGACTGTGGCTTGGGTTCCACATTAATAGTTGGAATTCTGTAGGGAATAAAACAGGTAAGATTTGTGGTCTGAACTCTAATCCTGGTGCACATCATAAAGATACTTTTGGTCAAAAGGATGCAATTATCTTCACTAAGACTCCATTAAAATACATACAAAACTCAACTAAAAACAAGGCTGCTTACTAATAGAAGTTTGAAAAAAAATGAAATGTGACCATTTGCTAACTCAATGTCTACATATCTGTACTATACTCCTTAAGAAATTTAAGGTCTATTGTGAAGCTCTGATAATAGCATACTTTAGAAAGTTAATGCCTTTATCATAAAACTGTTATTACCTAAAAACATTTCTAAAAAAAATCACTTAGAGTATGTGTTGCTCTAGGCATAGGGAGGGAGATTCTTAGGGATAGCAATCTCCTCCTGCCCACTAGTGCTGGATCCATGGTTTTGACAGCACAACAGGTAGATGCAAGGAGCTCTAGTATGTTTCTAAAAAGAAAAGAAAAGTTGAGAAGCTCATCACTGAATTTTTATTCTGCTGATTGTTATTGTATTGTTCTGGGACTTTTCTCTTTCTTTCTGGCTTAAGACACAGTCAATACAATGAGACTTCCAACTTGTCAGTGAATGCTAAAAATCTTGTATCTCTCTTGTTGTTGTTGTTCGGTACTGTTTAGTTGGTACTGACTCACAGAGTGACCTTATGTACAACAGAACAAAACACTGCCGGGTCCTGCACCAACCTTACAATCTTCGCATTCCATTGGGTCACCTTTCTTCAGACTGGGCACAGATATGGATCTTTTCCAGTCAGTTGGCCAGGTAACTATCTTCCAAATTTCTTGGCATAGATCAGTGAATGCCTCCAGTGCTGCAACAGTTTGTTGAAAGATCTCAATTTGTATTCCATCAATTCCCGGAGCCTTGTTTTTTGCCAATGCCTTCAGTGCACGTTGGGATTCTTCCTTCAGTATCATTGGTTCCTGATCATATGCTACCTCTTGAAATAACTGAATATCAACCATTTCTTTCTGGTACAGTGACTCTGTGTATTCTTTCCATCTTCTTCTGATTTCTGCATCATTTAATATTTTGTCCATAGAATTCTTCAATATTTCCAGTTAAGGATTGAATTTTTTTTTTTTAGTTCCCTCAACTTGAGAAATACTGAGCGTGTTTTTTAGTTCCAGCTCTTTGTACATTTCATTATAATATTTGACTTTGTCTTCTCTAGTTGCCTTTTGAAATTTTCGATTCAGCTGTTTTATCTCCTCATTTCTTCCATTTGCTTTAGAATCTCTGTGCTTACTAACTGACAAGCGAGTGGTGGGTATCTCTCTAATTAACCTACACATAATTAAAAGTCTTGTGATAATTTAGGTTTTGTGTCCACCTTGGACCAGAATTGTCAGTGGTTTAACAGTTGAGATGTAGTTATCTCCCACATGATGAGAGCTAATATACTGTAATCAATTCTATGATGAGGTCAGCGATGAACAGCCAATCAACTGAAGGGAAGCTTCTTTGAGGAAGCTTTCAGTATATACTGGACACTCAGGCAAGGCTTGCTTGCTTTCTGCAGGATCAGAATCTTATATCTGGCTCTTCCTCCAACCTCTGATTCTTTGGACTTGAGCCAGTGGCCTGTTCTACTTGCCGATCCTGGGATTCATCAGCAGCCTGCCTTCTTACTTGCTGGACCTGCCTGCCTGCCTGCTGTCTGACTTGAAAATCTTGGTTCATCTGACCCAGACTTGGGACTCTGTCACCCCTACAACTGTGTGAGCCATTTCCTTGATGTAAATTTCTCTTGTTGGATAAGCATTGGACCACAAGGTCGGTTTGAACTGAAAGGTCAGCAGTTTGAACTCACCAGCCACTCCTCAGAAAACCTATACAGGGTTGCTGCGAGTCGGAACCAACTCGATGGCACTTAACAATAACAACATATAAGTTTCACTGGCTTATATGTGCTTCACTCAAGCACCCATCCTAAGACAGGTCCCTTTAATTAGAAACAGAGATAGAACAAAGCATCTAGTAAACATTGTGGATGCAAAGTTGACTTGTAACTTTGAATCTTCTAGAGCCATGGGGAGTTATTTCTAAGACCAGGCAGTTGGGATGAGTTTGCGCTGTTCAGATCTGACATCTGACTACAGAGTATAGTGAATGTGACTGGTGAGGACACACTTAGACAGCTATAAACATTTAAAATATGCTTACACATTTCTGAAAACAAAATACTACTAAATATGCATTGTTTTAAAGTATAGATTTATACTTCTTACACAGATAAATGATCATAAGGGTTCTCATAATTATGTTTAAGTTTTAAACCAATACCACCATTCTCTAGGTGAAAGTATGTGTTTATTTTAGCTGTAATACTTGAAAGAGATAAAGCCTTTGGAGTGAACCTGGAACTTAAACTTATAAAGTCAAGAAGAAAATCAAACAGTATTAGATCAGGAACAAGGATTTCAAGTTATTAGTTTTACAAGTTTTAGAGCACCATCTCATTTTGCAATATAAACAACAACAAATTGAATATGCCTACCAATTCTTACCTGTGCCACCATATTTGTCTGCCATGTTAATATCAATGTCCGATTTTAAAGTCAGCATAGTCCGAAGGACATCATCACTGCCTTTCCCAGCAGCCCACATAAATGATGTTCTTCCTTCAAGATCTGAATCATCTTTCACTGAAGGATGTTTTAAAAATACTTTAACTGTTTCCTGTAAGAAAGACTCATTTAAACAATTGAGACAAAAAATTGTTAACAAAGCCATGTTTATGTTATTGCCACTTAGAAGCAAAGTATTTTCTTCCTGTATTTGAATCAAATGAAAGTTTTTTTAAATAACAAAATAATAGCTTAAGTAGAAAAGAACTATTAAATACTGAAAATAGTAATCCTCTGTCCTTATATAACAATTTGAGTTTCCACAGAACTTCAAAACATAACCTAACTCCTTCAATCAACATCATTATAATTGAGAATGATCATCCTCAACCAGGTTGAAAACCTTATAACGTCCCTGTTAGAGATATGAAGTGACAGTATTTAAAAGTACTCAGAAATATTTAGTGTCATGACCAACATTAAAATGTAGGTTTTCTTGAGCATTTTGCATGTAGAAACCCATAGATACACACATGCTTGCTGCAAAAGTAAATATATCCTTTCACTGTGTGTTTTGTTACTACAATTTAAAAAATGGGTAATGCATTTATTGAATAAGAAATGCAGTACATTATGCAGAAATACAGTGTTCAATTCACTTTAGCAAATATTTATTCAGCAATTCTGATATTCATAGGTCCCTCCCCCATATAACTGTACTATTAGGACCATTTAATAGTAGTAATAGGGCCTGACTTCATTATAATAGGGAACATTTACAATTAAAAAGTTTTTTTGTCTCTTTCCTCAAAGTCTTAAGAACATTTAGGAAGATAGTATAAACTCTTGTTTGAGTGGAAGTAGAATAGTTTCAGGAAAAACAATTTTTTGGAAGCTGTAAACTGGTTAAAAATGTACAAAATGTTGGCTCTCTATATATTAAAGCAAAAAGAAATCCAAAGGCTCATCTAATCCAGTCCCTCATGTCATAGATTGGGAAATTTAAATTCTAGGTCACACAAATGCTGGTGGCAGATAGAATATAAACCCAAAAACCCTTCAACAAATTCACTGTCAGAGAGTCAATTCTGATTCATAGGGACCCTGTGTTGGATCACTAAGGCTGTATATCTTTCTCCCGCAGAGGTGCTGGTGGGTTTGAACTGCCATTGCTTATCTTACAATTCTATACCAGGGCTTCTATAAGATTATAACCCAGGGCTAGATCACAGAATTCTCTGATTGTATCATACACTGCTTTCTAATTTTAAAGCAATCTGTTGAATTACTGAACTATTATAATTTAGTGCCCCTGGGGTCTAATGTATATGCTCATTAGACACATAAATAAAAAAATAAATGTTGGTGATTTTTTGTGTTTTTTTTTTTTTCTTTTCTTATTATGATATTTTACTAGTGAATGTTTGCAGAGTTGGATTTTTTTTTTTTTTCTTTATGTGTGTGTTTTAAAAAGAGAGTTACAACCTCTTATGAGTGAAGCTGTTGTTATTGTTGTTAGGTGCCATCAAGGCAGTACCAACTCATAGCGACCTTATGCACAGCAGAACAAAACACTGCCCAATCCTGGGCCAACCTCACTACTGTTGCCACGCTTGAGCCCATCGATGCTGCCACCTGGCCAATCGATCTCATTGGGGGTCTTCCTCTTCTTCTCTGACCCTCCAGCTTACCAACCAAGATATCCTTCTCCAGAGACTGGTAATGTGTCCAAAGTATGTCCAAAGTATGAGTGATGAAGTGTAGCCATCTTGGCCTCCAAGGAGCACTATGGCTGCACTTCTTCCAAAATGGATCTATTGGTTCTTTTGGAAGTCCTTGGCACTTTCAATATTCTCCTCCAACACCATAAATCAAAAGAATAAATTCTTCTACAGTCTTCTTTATTCACCGTCCAGCTTTTGCATGCATATGAAGTTATTGAAAATACCATGGCTTGGGTCAGGTGCACCTTATTCCTCAAGCTGACATTTTTGCTCTTCAACACTTTAAAAAGGTCTTGTGCAGAGATTTGTGCAATGCAATACGTCATTTGATTTTTTGACTGCTGCTTCCATGAATGTTAATTCATGATCCAAGAAGAATGAAGTCCTTGACAACTGCAATCTTTTCCCTGTTGATAAGAATGTTATTTATTGATCCAGTGGTGAGCATTTTTGTTTTCTTTACATTGAGATATAATTCATACTGAAGGCTGTGCTCTTTTATCTTCATCAGTAAATGTTCAAGTCCTCTTCACTTTCAGCAAGCAAGGCTGTATCACCTGCATATCACAGGCTGTTAATGAGTCTTCCTTCAATCCTGATGCCATGTTTTTTTTCATAGAACCCCGCTTATGCAGGTTGAATAAGTATGGTGAAAGAATACCACCTTGTTGTACACCTTTTTATATTTTAAACCATTCAGTGTTCCCATGTTCTGTTTGAAAAACTGCCTCTTGTCCAGGTACAGATTCCTCATGAGCACAATTAAGTGTTCCGGAATACTCATACTTCACAATGTTGTCCATAGCTTGTCATGATCCACACAATTGAAAGCCTTTGCGTAGTCAGTAAAGCACAGGTAAACATCTTTCTGATATTCTCTGCTTCCAGCCAAGATCCATCAGACATCAGCACTGATATCCTCGTTCCACGTCCTCTTCTGAATCCAGCTTGAACTTCGAAGTTCTCTGTCAATGTATGCTTGCAGCCATTCCTGTTATTACCTTTAGTAAAACTTTACTTGCATGGGATATCAAAGAGATTGTCCCATGATTTCTGCATTACATTGGGTGAAGAGGACCCAAGAAAATGAAGGTGCTCGGAATGATGAGTTTAGAAAATCTGGACAATTATTAAAAATTAACTATGGAATTGCCACATAATTCTTTGAATAAACATCCATAATGTTCTGCCATTCTTTTTCACTTCTATTACGTAATCACTGGTATCTATACATGTTAATTTTAGAGTCTAAAATTGGGTTTAAGACCTAGAACTTGGCTTCAAGATTTTAGATAAGTCATTTATCTCTTGAAACCTCAGGTTTTTCATCTGAAAACAGGGCATAGCATGGACTACCTCACAGGCTTGTGTTGAACTATGGATTGTGTTCTGATTCCCATATTGATTAGATTGGATCAGAGGAATTTCTTACCTACTTATAAGAGAGAGATCTTCAAAATACTATTTTGTTTGTTTGTTTTTTAAATCTTGAAAGATAATAGAAGATAAGAGCTTACCAGAGCTTTAGTTGTTACATAGAGTAACTTTTTGGGGGTCTGTGAAGGAGGAAGGACTATAGAGTCATAGTTGTTCTGGGTACCACAAAAAAGAAGGGTGGGATGTAAGCTATTTTAACTATCAATTGTATGTTTGGGGAAGTCAGGAAGTGGGGATGATACTATACTATATATAATGATGGTGGTGCCGTGGAGTCGGTTCTAACTCCTAGTAACCCTGCATAGGGTTTCTGAGGCTGTCAATCTTTACAGGAACAGAAAGCCTCATCTTTCTCCTATGAAGTGGCTGGTAGTTTCAAACTGCTGACCTTTCAGTTAGCAGCCTGACCCAGTATGCTACCAGAGCTCCTTATGCTATATATAACAATATATGTGTCATAAATTATTATAATTTAGTAAAATCAAGGTGTTTGCACACCATGTAGAAGGTGACAAAATCAACTGTGTGTCTGGTTTTGATAAAAATCCCATTGCCATCAAGTTGATTCTGACTCATAGCAACCCATTAGAGGAGAAGAGAACTGCCCCATAGGGTTTCCAAGACAGTAATCTCTCAGGCAGGAGCCTTGGTAGCATAGTGGTTAAGTATTCAGCTGCTAACTGGAAAGGGAGCGGTTCAAACTCACCAGCCACTCTAGGAAGAAGATGTGGCAGTATCCTTCTGCCAGCCTTGGAAACACTCTAGAGCAGTCCTATTCTTAGAAGTAGGAATCGACTCCACAGCAGTGGGTTTTAAATCTTTACAGAAGTGCCAACCTTTCCTTAAGCAGGTGAGGCATAACTACTGTGCCATTAGGGCTTCCTATTGGCTCTTGGTAGTCATTTATAAAGCTGAATCAGCCTAGACACTATCATGTTGCTGGGTGGATTGCATGACATAATGATGAAAAAGTAAACTACAAACAGCTGTAAGGAGAGAATTATTAAAAACACTCAATATCTAATAAATGTCAGTAATTCATATTTTTGCACTCTCAGATGTGTAATACAGGCAATTACAAGGGCTAATCATACCAAGAATACATGCTATTTCTTGAGTTCTTGCTTTCTGCCATGGCATGTAACAGGCACTTGTTATAAATTTCCGCTAATCCCTCAATAATCCAGAAGGAGGGTATCTTTATTTTATGTATGAAGAAGCTAAGACTTGGTGAGGGTAAGAAACTTGTGCAAGTTCTTACAGCTGCAAGCAGCTATAAACTGCCAACCTTGTGGTCCGCAGTCTACTGCTGATCCTACAGCACCACACTAGGATTCCAAGATACCTTTAGTCCTATAAAAGTAAAAAAAAATAAAGCAGACTAGGTAAAGCAAACTGTTACACCAAACTTTAACATAAGACATAAGAACTGTATCAAATTCACATAACTAAGACCTTTACAAAAACTCAGCCTATCACTTGCACTGCAGTTAGTTAATGGTCTGAACAACTGTTAAAAGGTAACTGCTACACAGACACACATGAGTGTGTGTAAAACAGATGCAATTTATTAAATAAGGCCAAATATTAAATAATGCCAATTTCCCCTTGTGATTCTGTACTACAGTTTTACAAGATGCTACTACTGAGGGTAGGAGTTCTGGACCCTATACACGGTCACTATGAGTGGGAACCAAATCCACAACACACAACTACCACCAATACCACCATGACTGAAGGGTACGTAGGAATTCTCTGAATTATTTCTGACATCTTAATATGAATCTATAATTGTATCAAGGTGAAAAAAAACTAAGAAAAAAGATAACCGTACATTTTGTTGTTAAAGTGCCTTCGAATTGGTTCCAACTCATAGCAACCCTGTATAGAATTTCCAAGGAATGGCTGGTGAGTTTGAACCACCGACCCTGTGGTTCCAGCCAACCTTGCAGTCCAGTGCATTAACCTACAGCGCCCCACAAGGACCCCTCATACACTTTACTTACTGCAAAATTACTCTGGGCTGCATAGTGCAAGGGCGTTGCTCCTTGGCTGTCAGATGGAATGGTTCCAGACTTGTTTCTTTCTAAAAGGAGATGGACAATCTGTGCGTGACCTGCAAGCATATACAACTGGGTAGGCAGACCGTACAAAAGAAGTTCATACACTTAAAATCTTAAAGAAAGAGTTTAGAACAATCACTAGCACATACTACATTATTCAAAATGGTTTCTGAGTAGCAACCCCCAGTGCAGCCTCTTCTACTTTCTCTCTAAAATGCTATGATTACAGAACAAAGGTTAAAATTTATACTACTGAAAACTTGATGCCTCAATCAGGAAGGAAATGACATTAATTATAATTGTCAGATTAAAAACTAACCACCCTGTATTAGGTATCTACTCATTGCATACTCTGACTTTACATTTACTACCTGCCAAAAGGAGAGTAAAGCAGGCCCTCTGCCTTCTCTGTTCCTAGTCTTGAGGTTCCACTGACCACCTAACCAGAATTGCACAGCTGTTCTCTTCTATTATGCAGGTGCTGCTCTGTAAGGTGGGCAAAGTATAATACAATGTTTTCTATCTCTGAGTTTTCTTATCTAGACTCTGTCATCCAATCTAGGCAGAGATTTCAAATCCCAGAAACCACTGGGCAAAAAAGATGAGATGGTGGTAGGGACAAGGCATTGTAATGGGTTTTGGAAGACATGTAGCCCGTAAGTGAAGAACTGTACAAAGGATCAAAGAACTAAGAAAAACGTGGTATATTGTGGTTAAGTGCCACTGAGTCAGTTCTGACGCATACCTGTATAGGATTTCCAAGGAGTGGCTGGTGAACTTGAACCTCTGACCTTATAGTTCAAACCGACCTTGCTGTCCAGCGCATTGACCCACGGTGCCACACCAGAACTCCAATGGTGGATATGGAAAACTTGAATTTTATACACTCCAGGAGTCCTGATGTGGCACTGTGGGTTAATGTGCTGGACTATAAGGTCGGTTTGAACTGCAAGGTCAGTGGGTCAAGCTCACCAGTCGCTCCTTGGAAACCCTATACAGAGTTGCTATAGGTTAGAACTGACTCCACGGCACGTCACAACACAACATTGCTTCAGTAGGGGTCCCTGTTTAAGTTCTTAGCTGTTAACAGAAAGTCAGAGGTTCTATTCTACCAGCGATGAAAGACCGGCATAGCAATCTGCTTCCATAAAGATTTACAGCTTTTGAAAAGCTGTGTGGTGATTCTGCACTTCCTGTAAGGTTGCTGTGAGTTGGAATTGGCTAGACAGCAATGGTTTTGCTTTTGGTTTATTTTAAACTGCGTCTGCATATGGGGGAACCATCCAACAAAGAAAATGCCACATCGGCAGAGCAAGGACATGCTGAGTGGAAGTCAGGCAGAAAAAAAGGAATGTGAGTGGGAGTTAGCTCATTTACCTGCTCTCCAGCTTTGGGATGATTTGGGATGAAGTTCTCCAAACACAAATGGATAAAAGTAGGATTAAAGGCAATCTATCACAGATAGTTAATCTAAACACATCTCATCTTGCTTTAGGAATAAGGAGAAAAGTTCAGTAAAGGCTACATGAAAATATACTACCAGACACATGGGACAGCACCAGGAAGATGGAGAAAAAAGGCATACCTCTGAGAGTCATCTAGAGAAGGATCCAGATGAAAAATTCAGGGAACTGTTTGGCATCCTCAACTTAGTGTAAAAAGAAAAGGCCTCTATGAAACAGAAACAGAATATCCTGTGGAGATTACAGGTTGAAAGTGAAAGGGTAATAGAATATAGTGAAAGTGAAAGAAGATGAGAAAAAATATATATGGATGAGAGAAAGAACTCTACACACATATTAAAACACAATCTACATAACTACATGCAAACAGAAAGCAGAATTTATGGAACAAAAAGTCAGTTTAGTGATGTGGAGACAAATTTGAGAAGCTCTCCCAGAATACAGAGGAAAAGGAAAAGGGAATGAGACTTCACACTGAAAGAAGTCTAAACAATCATTATAAAATGGAATGCAAATGTGAAAATCATTTTCAAAAGAGACCAAATGTGTAATTCACAACCAAGACTAATATAGTAATAATTGTGGGAAATTGCTGAGTATACTGCTGTTGTTGTTAGCGGTCATCTAGTTGATTCCAGCTTCTAGTGACCCCAGGTGTGCAGAGCAGAGTAGAACTGCTCCGTGGGATTTATAAACTGTGAAGCAGACTGCTAGGTTTGTCTTCCAATGAGCCTCTGATGGGATCGAACCTTTAACCTGTCTGGTAGGAGGGAATCGCTTTACCATTTGCCACGCAGGGGTTCCAGATCATATTAACAAAGGTAAAAGGTTTTCTTTCCCTTATAAGACTCAACAGAGGTTTTGGACTCTGACTCAGTTTTCACAAACTGTTTGATAAATTGAGACCACTAATAGAGTTTAAACACCCTTTTCAATACTAAGTAATTTAAAACTGCTACAGTAAATATGCGAGCATGTTGGCTCTAGAGGACAAGCACTGGACTGTGTACTATAAGTTCAGAGGTTTGAGCCCACCAGCCACTCTATGGGAGAAAGATAAGGCTTTCTGCTCCTGGAAAGATTTACAGCCTCGGAAACCCTGTACATGGTCACTATGAATCAGAATTGACTTTGACGGCAATTAATAACAACATCAATAAACAAACCTAGTCCTTATATCAAGAGGCAGAAAACAAAGGAAACATGGAAAAATCAAGTGAAAAAACTCAATCCCCAGAGAACAGAATAATAAAAATAAACATTTTAACAAAAGAGTGAGAAAATTATATAAAACAAGGACTAACAACATTAATAAGGAGCTCTGGTAGCGTAGTGGTTACGAGTCGGGCTGCAAACCTTAAGGCCAGCAGTTCGAAACTACCAGCTGTTCTGTGGGAGAAAGATGAGGCGTTCTGCACCCATAAAGATTTATAGCCTCGGAAACCCTATACAGGGTCACTATGAGTCGGAACTGACTCCACAGCACACAGCCACCACCACCACCAACATTAATACTAATGGGAAAAACTCCCAAATTGGGCCTTTCCCCTAAAGAAAGTCTGACACATTCCCAAACCCAAACCATTGTTATTGCGTCGATTCCCACCTATAGTGACCCTATATTGATCCTACATACAATCAGTCATCTAAAAAAGTGAGCCACTAAAAGGTTTAGTAAAAAGACACAAGAAAAATATGAAGAAAGAAAACAAAAGATATCTAGGAATTAACACAAACATAAAATTAAAATGCCATCTTTCAAAAAATAAAGGCATTGAATATGATAGACAATTTTTTACATTTACTTTTTGTCAATGAATATGCATTGGTTTTTAATAAAAATGAAAAGTTAAGGCATGAGGGTGAAATGAAAACTAATATATAATAGAGGATGAACTCATATTACTAAATTTTGAGCATAACAGAGTGATTGATTGAGGTATAAAAGAATTCCACATATCAATGAGAAGTTAGAGCAATTGAATAGGATGCAGGGGCAACAGAGAAAGGGAAAGCTGAGAAACTTTCTTAAGCCAGTTCTCCTTTGATTTGCATTCAACTCACCAAGCAAAGCTGCCCAGTGAAGTGGGGTTCTAAATAAGTTATCGTAAGATGTTATATTGCAGCTTTCATAGGAGGTCAGGACATCAACCACTGTCACATTCCCATCGGCAACTGCAAAGTGAAGAGGTGTTCGACCCTCATAGTCTTGCCAGTTCAGTAAAGACTCGGTAGGAGCAGCATCCTGTTTTTAAGGAATCAGAGACTTCAGACAGACATGAAACCCTCAATCAATTACATTTAACGTAACCATAAAATAAGTCATTTTCTATACAAAACCTCTATATTCTTGTACTGTACAAGTAAACAATGAAAAACACAATCACAGAATATAGCAGGAGCAACAAGGAGATGGAAATATTACACAGAATGGAGGATAAAATGCATAATTGGAAAGAGCAGAAAGAATGAAGAAGGCAATATTTAAAGAGATAAAGATTGTATTATTTTCAGAACTAAGATACGATAATCAGAATGTATCACAAAGAGAATTTTGACACACTCACCCACCCATGTACACACACATACACATACCTAGAAGTATTGTAGTAAAATTGTAGAATTCCAAAGAGGAAAGTCTTAAAGCAGTCAGATAAAAAAACAAAACAAAACAAAACAAACATGACTTATACAGGACTGAAAATTAAAGTAGTAACAGACTCCTCAAGAACAACAAGAAAGGAGCAGGTTTTTCAGGAGCAAAGGTTGAAATACAAATTAAGAACAGCGAGCATTTGCCATCAATGGAACTCTACTAATGGGAACTCTAGGTAGCTCTAAGGAGCTCTGGTAGCGTAGTGGTTACGAATCGAGCTGTGAACCACAAGGTCAGCAGTTCGAAACTACCAGCTGTTCCACAGGAGAAAGATGAGGCGTTCTGCTTCTGTAAAAATTTATAGCCTTGGAAACCCTGTACAGGGTCGCTATGAGTCGGAACTGACTCCACGGCACATAGCCACCACCACCAGTGGGAACTCTAAAGAATATATTTCAGGACGTAAGCTAATAACTCTAGGTGAGATTCAAGAAGGAATGCAGAGTATAGAAATTAGTTGACATGTAATTAAAAATAATTATTCTACAAACAAAACGAACCAATTTGACAATATTTAACAACAACAAAATAAACAAAATATTGTTTTTGAAGTCTAATTTGTCTGTTAAAAGTCAGTAGGAGATTCTTTGGACTTCCAGCAAGATGGTGGACTAGGCAGACATGCCACAGAGACCTTCTATGGCAAAGATATAGGAGAACTAATGAAACAGACACAGAGGACAGTCCTGGAACCCTAAAAGGCAACAGAGTAGATGGAATACCTCCTGGAAGGTGAAGCTGAGCAGGGGTGATGAAACAAGGAGACTGACTGGTGAATGGACAGCTGGCGCAGCCGTCTTGACCTTTTGTGAGCAGCTTTGGAGAGACCAAGATGGCAGTCTGACAGCACAGATTCACACCGTGGATGAAAAAGGTGCGATTCCTTCTTGTTTCCCACACTCCTCTGGATAACAGTGGTGAGACTGGCCCCACATTCATCTACCTCTGGTACAGACCCTGCTCTCCAGGAGTTCTGAGCCTGAGGTCTAAACCAGTGTGAGTGGGTACTCACTGTGCCACCTTGGGGCTGCTCCAGATCTACAGAACCCACAGAACCTCCAGGTCAGAATTAGACTAGCAGGAACCTTCATAATCAGACACATGCCCTCTGGTTCTGACAGACCTGAAACTAGCAACCTGCAAGGCCTCCACGAACTACTTCCAGATTAGGTGTCCTGAACATAGATAACAACTAGGCCTACGGGAACTCCATCTAGGGCTGGGATCTCAGCTGTCACATCGCTCCTCCACCCACCTTGTAGTTTCTTGGCTAGAATTTTCTCCTCTCTAGGTCTCATTTTTTATTTTTCCTTTCATTGTTTTGTTGCTTTAGTTTTCTTATTCTTCCTTCTCCTTGATTTTCATCCTTTCTATCTCTGCTTTTGTCTTTTCTTCTGTTTCTCATTTCTACCCTCTTCATTTTTTTCCTCTTAATTTTTCTCTAGTCTCTCTTTTCATCTTCTATTTTTTTAGTGTTTTTTTTCTCTTCCTTTTATATTCTCTTATTTTTCTCTTGAACAGCTCCACTTTACTGTTTCTCTTTTTTTCTTTTTAGTCATTTCATTTTTTTCCTTCTTGCTGCCAGTTGTTTCCCCCCACCCCACCCCCCGCTCCTCCATTACTATATGCTGTCTTCCCTGTTGTCTGCTGGTTTATTTGTCCTGGTTTTTTCCTGTGAGTATTTTCTCCTCTTGTCCCACCTTACATGAGAGAACAACCATGCCAATACAGCTCAATCACAACTGTCCCCTCTGCAGCTTCAATGGACAAGAGCCAATACTCATTCCTATACCACCTGGTCAATGACAGACATCAGCCGACGCTATCCAAACTCACCCTAAACAGAGCTGCATGAACAGCGAATGGAAAACGGTGTACAAGCTTCCATTCTGTAGAAGATAGTTGGTGAAAGCCCAAGAACATATCAACATACAATCATCAATTGAATACAAATACAACAACACAACAGACAAAGAAGAGAGAGAGAGTGGTTCAAACAAATGACCCAAGATGCAGAGCCAGAAAATGTCTTTGAGGAAGTAAAGGTAAGGGAATTACTGCAACTATGCCAAGAAATTTGGAAGACAGTGACCTAGCCAACTGATTAGAAGAGATCCATATTTGTGCCCCTTCCAAAGAGAGGTGACCCAATGGAAAGTGGAAATCACCAGACAGTATCATTAATATCACATGAAAGTTGTGAGGATTTTTGTTTTCTTTATGTTGAGGTGTAATTCATATTGAATATTGCAGTATAGAATACTTTGATTGTCATCAGTAAGTGCTTCAAGCTCTCTTAACTGTCAGCAAACAAGGTTATGGCATCTGCATATTGCAGGTTGTTAATATACCTTCTTCCAATCCTGATGCTGCCATTCTTCTTAATATAGTCTAGCTTCTTGGATTATCTGCTTAGCATACAGATTGAATATGTGTACGTTGAAAGCATACAATCCTTATACACATCTTTCCTGATTTTAAATCACACAGTATTTCCTTGTTCTGTTTGATGAACAGGTTCTACATGAGCACAATTAAGTGTTCTGGAATACCCATTCTCTGCAATATTGTGAATAGCTTGTCATGATCCACATAAATGTTTTTGTGTAGCCAATAAAACACAGGTAAACATATTTCTGGTCCTTTCTGCTTTCAGCCAAGGTCCATCTGACAACAACAACTTTGTTTCATGTCCTCTTCTGAATCAGGCTTGAATTTCTGGCAATTTCTTGTTGATGTACTACTGCAACTAATTATGCATCATCTTCAGCAAAATTTTACTTGAATGTGGTATGAGTGACACTATTTGATAATTTCCACATTCTGCTGGACCACTTTTCTTTGGAACGAGCAGAAATATGGATCTCTTTCAGTCAGTTGGCCACATAACTGTCTTCCAAATTTCTCGGCACCTCCAGCACTGCATTCAATTGTTGAAACATCTCAGTTGGTATTCCATCAATTCCTGAAGCCTTGTTTTTTTTTTTGTCCAATGCCTTCAGTGCAGCTTGGACCTCTTCCTTCAGTACCATCTGTTCTTAATCATATGCTATTTCCTGAAATGGATGAATGTTGATCAATCTGGTACAGTGACTCCATCATCTCTATCCACAGATGTAGTTAATTTCATTTCTGTGTATTACATTCAGTGAAGTCCACCTGTATAGTTTCTGTTGTTCAAGTTGAAAATAGGTATTTTCAATGACTAAGTCATTGATCTTGCAAAATTCTATCATATAATCTCTGGCATTATTTCCATGACCAAAGTCATATTTTCCAACTGCCAACCCTTCTTGTTTCCAACTTCCACATTGCAAACATCAGTAATTGTCAATGCATCTTGACAGAATGTGTGATCATTTTCAGACTGCAGAAGCTATGGTAAAATTCTTCATTTTCTTCATCTTTGGCATTAACAGTTGGTACATAAATTCAAATAGTTGGATTAACTAGTCTTTCCTGTTGTTGTTAAGTGCGTTTGAGTAGGCTCCTTCTCATAGCATCCCTGCATAGGGTTTCCAAGGAGCAGCTGGTAGGTTTGAATCATTGACCTTGCAGTTAGCAGTCCATTGCTTATTCTGTAGCACTACTCCTTGTAGGCATATGGATGTTATCCTATCACTGACAGCATTGTATTTCAGGATAGATCTTGAAATGTTCTTTTTGACAATGATTATGATACCTTTCCTTTTCCATATGTCATTCCCAGCATAGTAAACTATATGGTTGTCTTATTCAAAATACCACTAATGCCTAGAATATTGATCTTTAAGCATTCCATTTCCTTTTTGCTGACCTCCAATTTCCTAGATTCATACTTTGTATATTCCATGTTCTGATTATTTATTAGTGGATGTTTGTAGCTGTTTCTTCTCATTTGCTGATGGGACACATCAAAAAATGAACTTGTGCCATATCAGCATATGAAGGTACTGGAAGTTTTATTCTATCCACATAGCAGTAAATAGTAATATGTTGTAGCTATCAATGGCAACATAGATAAAATCACCAGAGTAATTTAAACAAGAAAAACAAGATGCTAAAAAAAAAACAAAAAACAATACCATGTATATAATTTTTAAAAGCCTTTAAGTATTATAAAAACACTTTTAAAAAATGTGGTTAAGTATTATACAAATCAGTGGCATGATAAATACAAAGTGTGAAATAGTGGTTGCTGCTGAGACAGGAGTAACTAGAATGGTACTGGGAGGTACTGAACTTGGGACTTCAAAGGTAATGGTCCTTCAGTTCAGTGGTGAGTACACAATTATTTGTTACTTCTTTATTCTTTATATCCTATATGTATTTTACAAATATTCACTTGTATCTAGTAACCATTTAATAAAAACAAATATGAAACAAAGCCATGGAATGATAGATATACATTCAGGATAGTAATTGATGGGAGACAGAAGTGGGTATGGCATAGACGAAAGAATGCACTTGAGAATTGGCACATAAAACTTTTCTATGAGGTCTTAAACAATGGTATTAAAAATGTTCTATTTCTTGTTACATTCCTTTGCTTCATAGTTTGCGTGCATGTCATACACGTGTTTTTGTATATATTGAATATTTCATCATAAGAAATTAAGAAAACAAAAACCATGGAAGTGTAACTCACCAGAATGCATCTCACTGTATGAACAGCACTGGGGTCTTTATGGTTGGCTGCCCAGTGAAGTGGAATCTTGCCTTCAACATCAGGAATCCCAATGTTGGAATCATGTTTGATAAGTAGTTTCACGTGCTCAGGGTTATTGTAGTAGGCGCTCCAATGCAGAGCTGTTTGCTGCAAAATTGAGAGGTTCTCAAACAACAGAAACAACACTAATGTTTCCTAAGCTTGTATTGTGGGATAACCACTGTTTTAAGAGTTTTACATATTTTTTTTCTCATGTAGTAATCATGACATCTCTAATAGGTAAGCAGTCTTCTTAATTTACATGTGGTTGGTGAGGAAATTGAGGCACAAACGAAAAAGTAACCTGCCCAAAGATATAAAGGTAAAAAGTGGCCAAGTTGAGATTTTAATGTAAGCAGTCTGACTTCAGAATGTGACCTGTTAATAATTTCAGTCATCAGATACTGCTGAGAAAGAGAAAAACAGTCCCATAATTTATAAATAATTATCAAGAAAGTAAGTGATAAGCACATCTGGTTATTAACAAGTACTTTAAGAGTTTGACATAAGATTTTGAATTTTAATATCTATAAAAAAGAAGATCAGGAGTCCAGTCCTTATATCAAAAGATAAATTAAAGCTTGACTATAATTTTATAGGATAACTTGTTAGGCCTTGTTACTGATGAAAAGATAACATTTTGAAAACACAACAGTGCTTCGTGTATTTTAAAGTTAAAAATGAATATCCTGAACTTGAAGTTGTTTTTATATCTCTTTCGTTTTCATCAATATACCTCTGTAGGTCTGGTTTTCCTAATACTGTTTTTAAGATAAAAATAAATTATTAAGATATACATTATCCCTCACAAATAGCATGTAATCAAGTCAATCTAGAATTAAATAATGTAACAAGCCAGAAGTAAACTCATTTTTCATATTAAAACTTTAAAGATTGGTATATGTGGTATTGATTCGAATGTACCTATAGGCATATAATATTAAGATTTACTATTTAGCTCATCACTTTGTTTATTTACAACTGCAGAACAAAAAAGTCTCAAGTATAATTTGTTGTTAAGTGTGCCAAGTTGGTTCTGACTCATAATGACTCTGTATAGGGTTTCTGAGGAGCAGATGGTGAGCTTGAACCACTGACCTTATGGTTCAAACTGACCTTGCCTTAACCCTCAATGCCACACTAGGACTCCCACAAGTATAACAGCAATTATCAATTGTCTATAAGCACATTTTCTAGATTAACTGTACATTTTCTAGAATTATTTTCTTATGTTTGCTCTGACTAAATTTATTGATATGTAATTTTATTTCTGTTACGTTTAATAGTGAAAACTTTGGGCTTATATTTTCTACATTTTCTGGTTTTTAAAAATTTCATCTTTCCAAGAATTTATTCTTAATGTATGTTATAAATTACTGGTCGGCAACAGATCAGGAATTAAACACACAAATGAGTCCTTCACAGATGCTTTGAGGAGCCCTGCTCAAGGCTTAATGGCTTTCTTTTCCCTGCCTCTGAGCTCAGATTTAAGGCAGTATCATTTTTTTCCTAATAGCTACAACCCAACCTGCAGCTTTTTTATGGTGTTCACAGTTCATCTTGAGGTATAGATAATTGTGTATTTGCTTCATCTTTCTATTGAACTCCTGTCAGCATATGTATACAGGGATCTAATCTCCTTCTCATCCTAACTCATCAGGAAAAAGTCATTTGGTGAGACTTACAAAGGCATGGTGTAGTGTAGTGAATAATTTAATATGTCTATTCTAGCCCAGGAGTCCTGGTGTGGTACTTTAGGATAAGCACTGATACAAGGTTGGTTTGAACCACAAGGTTGGTGATTCAAACCATCAGCTGTTCCTCAGGTACCCTATACTGGGTCACTGTAAGTTAGAATTAACTTGACAGTACTTAACAACAACAACAATTGTAGCCTTAGTCTTTGTCACTCCTAGCAAACAGCTTTTTTCCTGCTGGGTCTGGATAAGAGCAGGTGGGAGAAGATACTGATAGGATGACGGGATTCAGCTGTGGATGTTAACAGAGTTAATGTATTGTAAAATCTTAAACTCAAGTGGCAGAGAAGCAGCAGCTGCAAGACCCAGCGCCAGAGCACCAGGACAGAGTAGAGCAAATAAAGCAGAGTGACTTAGAGCAGGAGGCTTGCTTGCAGAGTGGGGTGCCTCCAGGTACTTAACTCAGGGAGCAAGGTTTGCTGATCCACGGAGCTAGAGGGAGTGAGTGCCTTCAGGTTGAGGCTTATGGCGGAGTGGTGTGTCCTGAGGACATTTATCAGCAATCCGAAAACATTGCCCATTGGGCACGGCTGAGAAGAGGCAGTCCTGAATTGTAATCAGTTAACATCCCTAATAGACCCCATAACTGTGAGTATGGGTTTAAGGTCTGTATGGCCATTACAATGAATTTTTGATACTAGCTAAATAGGGCTGTGGGAGGAATGCTTGGTGATACTTTTCGCATGTGGCTAGAACAGATATATTAAATAATTCACTGCACTGTACCCTCCAATCTAAAAATAGATGTTTAAGTTATTTATTGAGGAAAATATAGCATTTTAAGTTTTTCAAACTGAAAATCAGAAGTGACCAACCAGCAAATAATCAAACAGCACCCAAGCCTGTAGCAAATGATGTAGTTGATTCAAAACTGAATAAAAAGAAAAATAAAACCTCTCGTGATTGAGGGAGACGTTTCTGTAAGCTCACTCCCATTTTCTATATTTTTTAATGAGAAATAGTAACCAGCTCAGTCTTACTCCCTTTCCTGTAATTCAATTAAAAAAATTGTAGTCACTGAATTATAGAATTTGCTCTTTTTCACTGGACTCCTGTTGCTGCGTAGTAAGTTCTGAATGATGATATTGAACTTTTTCATGATCTCT